AGTGTGATTCTTTTCTGTAAGTGTTGTCTTTGTGCATCACTTATCCTACAGGTCATACTGCCTGCTATCCACGAGTCTCTGTCAGAGCTCCTGTTCTTCAACTCTGTGAAGAAAAGCCCCCAGACGGACAGCAGTCAGTCGACGGAGTCTAGAGCTTGTCTGGCCTATCTACTGTTTGTCCAGCTCATCAGCATCGACAGCTTTCCAGCAATATTCAGGTGACATGAGAGAAGCCCATCATGGTCGGACTGATGATGCACCGGCACACATGAAGAGAAAAAACATACTTATTGAATATTCAAATACTGTTTCCTGCTTTTTCAGTCCCGTTTTTGTTCTTCAGTGCAACATGGAATACATCAATCAGCTACTCAGTAGGTAAGAGGTCATCACAGTGTGACCTGAATAAATGTTCTTTTTGAATTGATTGATTACTTTGTGTAATCTGTAATGTTGTTTCTTTAACAGCAAAAAGGAATCACACTTGCTTAAAGGACTGGTAAGGACGCATTAATATTAATACAGAGAGTCTAATAAAGGATGAAAGCAAAAGGAAGAAGGATTAAACGTCTGTTTTCTCTCAGGCTCTGTACGGAAAAAGTTTGGAGAGTGTGCAGGACGACAGCCTTACAGTGAGTCTACTGGAGCTGAGGAGCTTCAATAGTGTCCCAAAGGTAAGACAGTCATGCCATTAGCATCCATATCAAACTGTAACAAGCATTTTAACGCCACATACCAGGTTATCCATAAAGGTAGAATTATTCACTTCGAGGTTTTCAGACTTCTAACTAAGCCATACAGGAGATAGTTAGTAGGATCTTATTTGTATGAGAAAACATATTGAAAAATACTTAAAAACTGCTAAGAAAGAAATCTAGACTGGTTATACTACTATGACTATTAGAGGGCTAAAACTTAGGCTGATACCGACATTTGAAATAAAGATTTAGCAGATTGTTGATTTCGATGTTTGTACATGACTTCTTTTGGTTTAAGACTCCCAACCGTGACACCATTTTCTGTCGTTTGACAATGAAAACAGATCTGAGTGTCCAACAGGTGACTTCATCTGCCAAATAAAAAAACTGTTCTCTGAATAAGCACTTAGGTGTACTAGATGTCAGCATTAAGTTGATTTGGCACAACAAATAAACATCGGCTACAGACATTGGCTCATGCCACATTATTTGCTGATGTCTGTCAATGGGGACGATTTCGGCCGATACGATGCATCGGTGCATTCCTACAGACTTAAAATAAGAATTTTCCACAGTTAAGACAAGCATGCCATCAGCATCAGTATGACTTTACGTCTCTTGAGCTGCATCATAAATCTCAAACTAACTAGTTTTTCACAGAGATCTACAATTTATCTATTTATAGAATCTTTGATACTTCTTACTTATTATTATTGATTATTTAATATCTTCCTAAATCAAAACATGTATTTTTAATAAATTGCAAAGAAATAATTCTTGTACTCATGGCCAATGATTGACTAATGCTGTCCTGATATTTACAGAACCTGCAGCGAGTTCTCAAGGATTGTCCAATTCAACACTTGGTGGGTATTATGCTTGATGAACATTTCACAAACTGTGAAACCCAGGGCTTTGTTAAACTGTTTGTGATTGCTCCCTCTACAGAGAGAATCAGGACTGAAGGTTTTCCAGCTCTTCATCAATAAATTAGATCATGAAGCAAAGCACAAGTTTTTCAGGTGAGAGGATCATCACAGGGAAGTTCATGTTTCAAATCAACCAAATGTACTTGATTGATGTACCTTCTTTGGACTGTAGACATTACAGAACACAAACTGTACTCAAATTCAAATTCAGTCTTTCAATACTGGTGTTTATGGGATAATTTTCAATTTTCAATTTTCAAATACTCACATCTCTTATAATTCTATATCATCTTTTATTTTTATTAACAGTTTAAAGTAAAGCTATTGCTTTACAATTTTACTCAATTTACAATTTTTGCAGGTGCATGTTAAAAACCAGCAACCACGCAGGAGTAGAGAGTTATATCGTAAAAAACATCAGGAGTCAAGTCGAATTTTCTATGCAGGTGAGTTAAACATGCAGAGTCAAGCCTTCAATGGCTCATAAACTTTGTGACATCAGAATCAAAAACACCCTGACTCTGTTTTGATGACACAGAGGTTATTGACGGTGATTTTATATGACGATGTTTAACATATGATAAACTGTCCTCTAGCCAGGTAATGCCAACAGATGGTTTCTGGGAGAGGAGCTCCTCTCGTTGTTGAGACTGGTGTTCTATTTGCCTCAAGGTGCTCAGACAGATTTGTTGAATAGTATGGACAGGTGAGTAACATGAACAGTGTGGTTTAATAAACAGACAGTCCTGCTGTTTTGTTGCTTCAACTCCACACTAGGCATAACCTACAGATAACACATGTGAAAATGTTTGCCACTGCAGAGTCAATGCAGTCTTCAAAAGAAGTCACAGTCAGATTACCTTTAAACACTTGTCCAAAGGCACCTGATCAAAGTTTTCAATTCCTACAAATAAGTGCTTTCAATTGTCACATCTATAAATTGATATAACTATAGATATGTATCTTTATCTTCAATTAATATAAAAGGTACATTTAATGAAATATGAGGCAAACTATCAACATTTTTAACTGTAGGGCTTTTTATAGAACAGTATTTAATTTTATTTAGAGGGTTTTTCTCTTAGGGGAGATTTGGTAGTGAAATTTGAAAGTTGGAGAAGTGAAACAATTTTATGCTATATTTTCTGAACTAAATACACAAATAGAAAAATGGCTCCCTGAACACTGTTTGGAGCTAAAAAGCTACCAGGAGAGTTATGGTTTCACTGTTACGGGCCCCCACGATAACTCCTCACGTAGCATTTTATCTTCTAACAGTGTTTCAGGGACCACATTTTCCTCTGAGGACAGTGTGTGTATAGAGTTATGAACATATACCACAGAATCTGTACACTTCTCCAACTTTCACATTTCTCTCCCTAAACGACATAGTGCACCTTTAAATTAAATAAAATGACTCCTGTGACCGACAACTTGAAATGGATCTCTGTGAAGCTTGTTGTGTTATTGGATGTTCTCTGACGCCTCTATTTGTTGCCATTTAAACTCTATTTGCTCTTCTATTACAAAGTCACTGTGAGGGTTACTCTTTTTCTGAGGTATAAAGAAAGGTTGATCAATTGATTAGTAAAACAAAATGACTCAAAGTAAATCTCTATCTTTTTACAGTTTTGACTTTTCAGCAGGGATTCAAAGACAAAAGGTGTATTATAATTACGACTTCTGGACACTTCATCCAGACTGAGCCTTTAAGCAATTCCCTGTCTCTGTTTCCCCAGGATAATGGAGACTTTGAATCTTCTTCGCTATCTCCTTATCAGAGACAAAGAACTGAAGAGCACAGTAAGTCACCCTTATTCAACACCTCCACTGGTCAGACAGCGTGGTTCAAGCAGAAAGCTGATGATCTTTTCCTCCTTCCTTCAGGCAGATGCGTGGGAAGAGCTGTACAGGATCAAGGACGAATACCTTAAAGTGCTGCGTGTGTGTATCAGCATATCAAGAGGGTATTATTGTGCTGAACTGAAGGCGCTGAGGGAGGATCAGAAGCTAAAGGCGAAAGGTAGGCAACAGCTGCTTGCCTATGTTTAATAATGACTTTGAAATTACCTTCAATTCAAGACAGAACGGCAGTATGTTTTCATTCTTTCTCTATTTTCCTCTCCTAGAAGCGAGAGATGCTGCCAGATCGAGCGGATTAGTCAAAAGAATGACAGTGAAACATGAGAAAGTCTCTAACATGTCCCCAGAGGCCCAGCACCAGGTACACAAACTCTCTTTCTCGTGATCATTTGGATTATAAACATTTTTAGGTCCAACAAGCTACAAATAAGTGTTGTTATGTGTCACAGGTGTTGCAGAGTGCTTTGGTGACATTCGACCTGATGGAAAGTCTTATAGTCCGGGTCGAAGAGATCACAGAGGAAAAAGTCAAAACCCCAAGTCAAACCACTCTCTCAACCTCTGATGAGCCTCTGTCTCCCTGTTCAGAAAACTGAGAAGTCTGATTCAATATTCATAAGAGTTGTGTTTTATACAAAAATACAAGAGCTTGGCTGTATTGTGGTTTGCATATATGGAACGCCAGGATTAATACAATCAAGCGCTCGTTACTTGGACTTGGAATTTAAAAGTCACATATTCTCCTCCTTTTCAACTAGTTTAAATAAGTCTTAAGAGCTCCCTAAAACATGTCTGTGAAGTTTCTTGTAATAAATCCTCTGATCCTGTATTTGATCATGTCTATAAACCCCTCTATTTCAGCCCTGCTCAGAACAGGCTGTTTCTGTGTCTGTAGCTTTAAATGTTAATGAGCTGTGTCTGACCACGCCCCTCTCTGGAAGGGTTTGGGTGGCTTGGGCTTTCTTGCTCCATTCCCTATTGTTAACGGTGAGAAGGCTGACCCAGAGGTCAGAACAAACACCTAGCTGTGGGAGTGTCACCCAACTGGGGGAGGGGTTACTGCCCTTTGTGATGTCATGAAGGGAAAATCAACAAACGGCCTGTTTGGGCACACATTTTCTGAAAAGTGGAGCAGGCAAAGGACAGAGAGGATGGACTTTTCTCATAATTTGGGGGGGTTTGTCGACAGACTATAGGGACAAATATTAGTGTTTGAGAATCATTGTTAAGTGTATTATGCATAATATGTGACCTTTAAAGAATTTAACATGATACTTTTGACCAGTTTACAGATTTTTAGTCCTTCCTTTTTTTGTATTTTTCTTTTCTTGGTCGGATTGTTGTCTAGTTTATGTTTCTAAAATTTCATTATTTTTAAATGTTGTATTTTCATAGTTTAGGTAAACTTTTATTTTTCATTAATAACTGGATTTTATGCAGTTTTGATTAAAAATAAATTAAACAACAAACAAAGGCTCCATGGGCTCTTGTGTCATTTCAGAAAACTGGGTTAAATAACACTAATACACAGTTTTATTTCAAGTGATCTGTTAACCAGTAGAAATACATGCATTATGTTAAGTGTGATTTTTTTTTACAGCATATAGTTATCTAGAAAACAGAACAAACTGTGCTACTATATTGTAACACATGTTTTACCTTTTCCTATGTATCATCAGATAACATGACTGAGGTGTGAAAATATGCTGCATCACCTGTTGAGCTCTACGGCATATCTCTTAACATCTCCCACACAGGACTGCTTTCAATGATGTGAGCCCGAGCCAGAAACATCCTATTGCGGATACTGTCAACATGAGGCTTACTGGTGGCCTGTAGATAACAAAAAAAACAGAAGCCTGGGCTTACTTAAAAAAATCAGGACATAATGGCTTTTTATTACACCAAATAACTTCATTGCACTGCCTCTGTCCTTACCTTGGCAACTGTCAACATTCCTTTGACGATCTCAGCGTTGTTTCGCACAGGCAGGATCCTCAGGTTGCTGCCAAAGAATCTGAAGGAGAAATAAAACCCTCAGTTTTAAGAAGGGTGACAGAGATAACAAAAATCCTGTTTATATTAGTTTTATTAAAGGAAAAGAAGCTTGCAAGCTAACATGGTTAAGATATCAACTTTGGGATTCATTGATGAAGACATAATGCAGCCACTCATATATACCTGTGCTGAATCACTGTAAATATTTCCATCTCCCTTGTCCCATTAAAGGGGGCGAACAGAAGCAGGAAGCTATTCCGATGAACTTGCACAAATGTATTTATCCTCTCAATGAGTCCAGATTCCTCAAGACGCTCAGGGAGATCTTGAGGGTCGACCAACAGAAATGCAGTGCCTGCAGTACACAAGTTATCAAAGTCACAAGTTAGTAATGTCAACTATTTATTTAAGTAAACACAACATGGCATTATTTGTGTAGTGTAGGCTAACATTGACAAGACATTGTGGACTGTTTCAAGAGTCCAATAGCTATAACTATGTCTTAAGTGATGACATTATAAAACATATACAGGACCTTTCGTTCAGGTTAATATGTATATTTGTATACAGTGCATGCATATATCAAACAGTAGACAATACAGCAGGTTTACCTGAGAGCAGAGACTGTAAATATTACCTGAGAGAGGAAAAATAAAGACTCCGGACTCCACACTGTCTGAAAATCTGATTCTGTGCTGCTGCGCACTTAGCATCCGGTTAGTATCGTGATTCTGGAAGAAAACAAAAGGTAAATTAAATAATATAACTTCTTACTTTCGGTTAAAGCCCAACTTCAACGAGGTAAAACTTAAACAACTATTATCATTGGCGCATAACTGCGTTTTTTGTTCGCAGTGTTAGTGCTAGAAAGCTAGAAAACACTTAAATTATGTAAAATCAAACTCAAAATGTTAAACATTTCAAACACCTACCCGGAGTGAAGAGCTGGCTATAATGGTCGTTTTCCACTGAGGAGCTGTTTCTCCGTTTGCTGCCATGGTTGCTAAAAGGCAGCAGAATAATTCACTTTTGAAGATAAAACTTAAAACCTACCATTTATTTAGTTTGGTCGATGTTTATCCTGCTTGTGCTGCTGTGCTTGAACGCAGCGTGAGCGCTAATGTCGTCATGACAACAAGAAGCCACGAGAGGCCGCTGTGGTATCAGTCTGTGACATTTTCTGTTGTTCAGGTGTTTTTGTTGGTAAATAAACAACTTTTGCACTGATAACAGCATCAAATAAGCAGCGTTTTGTCAGTAGTTATTGTTTCAGTGATGCAGGTGTGTATTCACTTGTTAGGCCAGATTACAACATACGGCGGTGTGATCGTTTGATTAAATATTAGTTTATTTACCTTTGTGCGGTAGCGGTGTCGTCATTGCAGGTTAAACACAGACAGGTGTAAGTGATTACACTAATCAGGAAAACATATTATCAAATGCAAAGATTTCATTTCGGGGCGCATGTCACAATAATAGCCAAGCTCTCTTACAGCAATACATTTTTTTAAAAGCAAGTCGTAAGTTAGGAATAGTTATTAAATCATTATAATAGCCTAGTTATTAATAGATATTAATACTAACCCCAACCACAATGTCAGACACCACTGACTCAGGGCTTATACATTGAACCAAAGCTATAGGCCTACGGGACACACTTTTTAAAAGCGTCTAGTCCACTATAAAACTTGGATTGTTTGAATTGAGATGTTTTCTGCTGTCCTGTGAGGTATGTTTTCTGTCGTTGAAACAAATAAAACAATACACTGTCAGCAGAGCTATACGGTTCTTGAAATAAAAAACATTTTATAGTTGTGTATGTTATTTCACTAAATGGCTTAGTTTAGTTACAAACTGTGCTACATAGGTTTCTAACAAAAGTGAGCAGCTATAGAAGCAGGTTAGTGGAAAAGTTGTGTGCCTCCTTCAAACACATTAACTAATATAATGACTTATAACACGTCTATTGAAGTATAGACAAAGGCAGAATAGGTAGAATTTACGAAACTATCAAAAAGAAAATACGCAAAACCTGGACCTAGATCAGTGTGCCATATAACAACATGGAACGATCTTAATTTTTCCCAGAAACACAACTTTATTTTCAATAAGACATTAAATGCAAGCCAGTAGGCTGATATTTTTCTTTAAGAAACGTCAGTCAACCAAAAACACTGCCATGTTTTTTCCTCACTCTATTCTTTTCTAGAGATTTGAAGCAACATCAATTCAACAGTCAAACATACAAAAATATCAGCATGCAGAACAGCCCGTTAGTGTTAAGAAACGGTCCAAAGGGCGTGATGAGAATGCAACATAGGTTGTTGAAAAGCTCAGAGTTTTACAGTGTGCAAATAAAGAGAGACCAATTTTAATAAATTAAGACAAACTTGATGTATAGACTTTCAGTGCTCATTGAGAAGGCTTTAACTGACCAGCAGGTTCTCCTCTTTGCAGTCAGTGATGTGTTTCCAGTTCCACGATGGTCCACTCCCCCTGTGGAGATGCAGCGTCTTCTGGGGAGAAGCTTGTCACTGTGATGCTGGTGGAGGAGTCATCCATGGGCGAGATGAGCTCCGCCCAGCGTTTGAAGGTCTCCTTCTCTGGGGACAGGAAGGCCTGCGAGTCCAGGCAGTCACGTGAGAGGGACAGTGTCTGTTTGATAAGGTACTGGGCCAGGTTGAGCTCCTCGGGCACAGGGTTTATGACACCCAGATTGGACTCGTGATCTGAAAGGAGTTGCCTGAGCAGGCTCCAGTCCCCCTCTGCAAACTCGCTGCTTTTGTCAAGGTCCCCTCTCAGCTTTTCTTCCTCTGCCTTCAGTTTAAAATTCCTGTCCTTGTCCGAGCAGTGCTCAAAGGCTTCTCCCACATCCATCTCGTAAATGGGAGAGAGGGCTTTGGACGGTCGACGGTCATGTTTGCAGCTTTGATCCAATCTGTCACAACCATTGTCCCCTAAAAGCAATTGACAATACTGCAAAATGACAAACTGAAACACTCCTTCAAATATCTTTTTTTTTGTTCATTCAAAGACTAGACTGGCCTACTACAATAAAACACTGAGAACTGAAGTGTACCCTTAATGCAACTGTGTCCCGAAAGATATTCCACAGTAAAGATACCTAGGTGAGGACAGCCAATGGGGTGGGCAGAAATGTTATTGGTCACATGGTAATTGGTTAAAACTCACCAGTTACTTAAAATATGGATATCAAGGTTACATAGTTGCCTCAAAGGTAGTGAACAGAGGATTGCTTTTCTGAGTGCATCTCTTTATCCACCTCTTTGAACAAAGTAAGCCATGCATTGCCAGCACCAGTGCGTTTTGCATTCGTCAGTAAGTAACAGTGATATGTTTTGAGATTTGCGTGCAGGCCTTTGGACGGCCAGACCTTTCTTACAGACTTTAATACCGTCACCAAGAAATGAAACTAAAAACGCAAGCAACAGTGCTTCGCTTGGTAGCACAAAAAAATATGGCACACCACTGAGTTTTCTTTTGACATTCTTTGTGTTTTCTATCTTTGACAATTCCCAAAAAAAGCAAAAGATGAAGGAAAAGATCACCGTTTGATGTTGAGAACAAAATGTTTTACATGTTTGCATGGAGTAAGACCCTCACTACTGGTGCAGCAAAGATTTCCTTTCCTGAATGTGATGAGTGGAAAAAAGAGAGACATGGCAGAAACCCTGACGGCTGCTCTAGAGACACATCACATACTTTACAGAGGAGGCTACTGACACTACATAAACCTACTGAACAAAAGCTTATACACAACAAAACGGTTGTCTTAAAAACTGGACAGCATCCGTCTAGACACAAGTCTACTGGGTATGACAAACGGAGATGGATTCCAAAAAAAATAAAAACATACATAAACAAGGATGAATGCTATGAGGGAATGACAAATTCAGAAAGTAGCATGCATGTGTGCAGTGCAAAAATAAAATAAGAAAACAAAAAGGAACAAATACATTCTCAAATTCAAAGAAAGAAAAACAGCAAGGAGATGCAAGGGAAAAGTTCCCAAGTATAACACACCTTTGTGAGTTAGCAGTGGCAGTTTAATGTCTTAGATTTTATACATTTTATTTGACTGTAAAGTCAGCCAATTACTCTATAGAAATAAAATGAATCATTAATTGCTTGTTATTTACCTGAACATACATTTTAAAGGTGCTACATATAATGTTTCAGCATCAAGAAACCTTTTCATATTCATTTTGAGATGTTAGTAAAAGAACTATATGAACAGAAAGACCATCACTGAGAAGCTGAGACTGATCTTTAGAAGCTACGCTACAATTGTTTCGGGCTTCATGGCACACAGAACAGATTAGTATGTGTTAATTAAATTTAAATATTTATCCTGTGCAATTAAAAACATATACAGGAGCAACACAGATTTGCATAACAAACAGTGGACTCCTTCTCTCAGACAGGATCCAAAGAAAGTACTGGAGCACACCAAATGCTTTGCACCAATTTAAATTGGCTTTAAGTGATTCATGTGCTCCAGTACTTTCTTTAGATCATGTCTGAGAAGGAGTCCACTGAATTATTTTGAACATCTTAAGTCCTTCAAATCGACCTCCATTTGTGGAGCGGCTGAAGAGCGAGACTTTCCTTCTACCTCGACAGATTTGCATAATTTGCTGACTCTGCATGGAAAAATAAAAAAGATAATGCTTAGATTGACAATGTCTCATGATTCCTATTGGGGTTGAAATGTTCTTAATAACCTGAGAGTGCATCAGAACTGTCTTTCCAAAGCGGTCAGCTTTATTTGATACACATAGCCCATTGGTAATTATAAAAAATAAAGATATAAAGATATAGTGATGTTAAAATGTATACATAGCACCTTTAACTATGTCAAATTATTTATGGCTTAGAAAGGCCAACAACTGATCCACTGCATAAAAGAAACGACAAAAATAATCCAAAAAATCTTATTTTTTTATGTACATAAAAGTGCATTGGTATAACTATGTCACAAGCCTTTTGCAAGGCAGATATTTTTTGGACAAGTACAATTTTATGATCAGTCTTAGTAAAGAATACACTGCTTTCCCTTTCTCGTGAGAACTGAGACACCGAGGCCTAAACGCCTGCGACTACAGGTAGTTCAGTTGTTTAAAACGTACAGTTTGGTTCTGATGAGACCGATCTCCATCTTTAAAAGGATATTAATGTTGCAAATTCAAATCTACAACAGCTACACAATCGATGGGTTGTCATGAGAGAAAGCTTTGAGCTATGGAAGTAGGATGATTCCATTTGAATTTGAACTTGTACTTATAACTAGTTGCTTAACTAGTTTGCTCAATGATATCCTTTTTCTGAAAGAGGGATAGGTATACTTAGGTGTTGGTAAGCTTTAAGAATTCGAGCAGAGGAAAATGGATCTTGCAGGGATACACTACACCTACACTTATGGAGTTTAAGGATAAGAGATGGGTTTGGATTTGGGGTCTAAGAAGGGTCCTTAGATCATACTTTACCTGCTGGAGATTGTGCAGCATGTACAGGAGAGTCCCCTGTCAGCTGCGGCTCACTTAAGTCTAGATGTAAATCAGCCTTCTTGCTCTCTGAGGTGTGATTTTTGCGCGGCCCTCCATTGTATTGTTCAGTGTGTCGCAGATCCAGGTGGCATGGGCGCTCCTGAGGAGGGAGGTCTCTGGTGTCAGAGTCCAGGACAGGAGCACTTGACTTCACTGCATCCACCTGGATGTGTTTAACCTGGTCTTCTTTTACAGGCTCCTGGATCTCTGTGAGGAATATGGAGGACTTTTCTTCCTGTTCCTCGTTGTGTAGATTGTGCTTCACACCGCCATTCTCAAGGTGGTTCTGTTGATCACTTATGGGGGCGCAAGTGGACTGAGGAGTTATGGAGTCTGACTCGAAAACATCACAAGGGGTCAGAGCGTCATCAGGCTGTTGAGGTGGGGTTTGGACGCCGCCCTCTTCTGAGCCCAGCTCTTCACACTCGTCGACAGACAGCAGCACCGACCGCCGGAAGTTAGAGGTGGACTGATAATCGGGTTGATCGTTATCCTGCTCCGCACCATCGTCATCGAAAGCGAGGTTGATGATCCCCTGAAAGTGTGGTGAGGGATCAGTTGGCGGCACAGGGGCCTGACCTTGAATCACCTCAACTTCAGACCTTTCATCTTCTGTCGCTTCCTCGTCGTCATCTTCCTCTTCCTCCTCTGAGGAGAAGAGCTGGGGGTCGGGGACGCTCTTGACAGTCGTAGTGGTTTCGACCTCCGAGTGCTCCTCCTCTACATGAACCTCCTCCCTGTGCAACCAGGAACGAGGACGCTGTCTCACCCCCTCCTCCTCGCTGGTGGTCTCTGCTTCCCGCCCACGCAGCCGCACCTCCACCCTCAGCCCTGCACCACCTTCGTACATCTTTAACTCCTCTGGGGTGCTCGTGTCGCTACTGCTGCGGCCCAGGAAGTCATGGCAGCGCATTGTACCGCACTTTGAAACTCCCCTGTCGTTGGAGCAGTCGTCGTCCTGCGAGCCTCCTGCGTCGTAGTCCTCTGAGCGGGGCTTGATGTCGTCAGAGGAGGTGGTGTGGGTGCTGCCCGTCTCAGACTCCGGGGTGACCTGGTGGTGGATTGCGCTCCAAGAGTCCTCTAATTGGGTGTCAGTGCTTCCCATGCTGCAGGGGGTGTCTACGGGGCGATCAATGTCTCTAGGGGAATTTGGAGAGCTGACCTCATGAACTTGCCCTCCATTGATGTGAGCTTTGTTGACCTTACTTTTAGACTGTTTGACGGTGCTTGCTTTAGCAGATTGAAAATTGAGGGTGTTGCTAGCTGCTGTAGCACCCAATTTAAGATCTGCACAACTACTAGTGTTATCTTCCTGTCTGTCAGTCTCCTGTAGATTCTGCTCAGAGCTGAGTGAATCCCCTCCAGTCTGGC